TCGAACTTCGGGTCGAAAGTGTGAAAGTGCTAGGTGCACTGCTTTCAGCTCGAGCCAGTTGATATGGTGGTCCCGAACCCATTGCGGGGGCCATATTCCTTGGGCTTGTTTGTCCAATAGATGCGCTCCCCACCCTTGGAGGGAGGCGTCTGTTACCAGAGTCATGGTTGTGACGAGTGGGTCCAAGGGGACCCCCTGTCTGAGGTTGGTCAGTGACGACCACCAGGACAGGGTTTCCTTTACTTGGTCCGGGATCAATACCCGTCTGTTTAGTTCCCGTAGGTGAGCTAGGTATTCCAATAACAAGCGTTGGACCGGGCGGCTGCGTAGTGCGGCCTGGGGAACTAACCCTTCGAACGGAGGTCATCATTCCGATGAGCCGCATTAGTTCTCGGAGAGACACTGAAGGTACGCTGACTAGGCGTTCTGCTAGGTTGCTTAGCGCTAGGCAACGCGCTTGAGATGGGCGAACCAGGCCTACTTCGGTGTCGAACTCCATGCCCAGAAACAACAACTGTTGCGTCGGGTCGGGATGGGACTTTTTGTGATTTACTAAAAAGCCCAACTGGTGAAGTAAATCCTGTGTAACCCTTACATGTCTGGCTAATAACCCCTTGTCTGGGTTGTGTATCAACCAGTCGTCTAGGTACGGATTGATGTGTACCGACATTTGGTGGAGCAGCAGCACTACCTGATTCATCACTCTGGTGAATACGTAGGGCGATAGTTCGAAGGGGTGCACCCGAAATCCGAATACTTGGCCCAGATGAGCGAATTGAAGGAGAGGGCAACTCGCTGGGTGCATCGGTATGTGCAGGTAAGCATCGCATAAGTCTAAAGAGACTAGCCAGTCGAGCCGGTGGATGGTGAGCCTCCCCGTAGATCACTGGGGTTACTAAGCTGTAGCCTGATCTCTTGTTGAACGCAGGCCCATCCCACCCCGTCGCAGAGGTAAGCGTCAAACATGCTTACCCTGCTGCCGGGGATGATGACCACCCGAGGATGAGGAGCCACCACCTGGTCCTCTCTTTCCTGGGGGCGCGTCGCTACCCTTCCCTCCCGCAGATGGGTACCAGCGCTTGCCTCCTGGCTGACTCTGTTTAGCGGAGCTAGTCCTAGGGCGTTGTGCTTTCTGTGCTTGGGGCGCCCTCCGTTTACCCTTGGCAGCGGCCAACTGGCTTGCGGATTCGACTTGGACCATTTGGTTTGTTACACCCCGAAGCTCTGCGACTGCCCCCGCTATCTCCCCATCAAAGAGGGTGGAGGATCTCCAGTCTGCGTAACTGACTCAGTTCGCCAGCGAAAACACACGCGTCTAAAACCACGTCTCGCTGCACAGTAGTAGCCCCGGCCAAGAGAGCCATATGACACTGGAGGATATCGCACATAGCCGTACGGTGGCCTACCATTAACTGTTTCGCCTGCTCTAGGAGGCGAGTGGGTTCTGCATCTGAGGTCTCAAGAGTCCTGGGCGCGCACAATAATGCGCTCCAGTGTGGCGCCCACAAATTCAAGGAAATTGATGGGGCGCAACTCCGCTCTCAGGGCATGTTGGATAGTCTCAGAATGGCAAAACAGAAGTTTGTGGTACCGGGGTCCGGGGAAGGAGCCTTGGGGTCCGGTCGGGGACTTCTGGTTTCGTCCCACGAATTGGGGTTCGAATCCAAGATTGCCCCGATGGGGTAGCATTTAGTCCAGCGAAAGGAGTTATGCAAAAGATTACCCCAGCCCGGGGCTTTCGGCGTTAAATCCTCTGCGGCTGACCAACGACCGCCCCTCAACACCGTCTGCGCGTCATCCCCCACGCTCAGCGCTCGGCTGGACCAGAGGAGACGTGCGGATGGGGTCGATCTGGATCCCGGCGCCTGTGATCCCATCAGCGTAGAAGGGACCGTAAGTGACTGCTTTAGGATCGAGGGTGGGGGAATATACATAGCGTCACCTGGACTGATAATATTTCGCATCACCCCAACGGCGTGGCTCACCGAGTCATTACGCAATGTGGACTCTGAGGGACCGCCCGAGGTACCCACTGTATCCGACACGAGTGAACTGCCACCCCTCAGCCTAAATATGTGGGCGAGAGCGTGTTCAAGAGTGCGTCTCATGACAGGGTCGGTTCCCTCTAGGAGCGCCTGTGGGTCGGCGAGAAGGAAGTCGAAACCCACAGCGGAACTCGGACTTGAGGGTAAATTAACTAGTGCGATACCGCGCGGTGAACCCTGGCTGGTTGAAAGCGGGGGGTGTGTGGTGGGTGGGTTGGTTTGTACAAAGTATGTCCTGACCCGAACGCCCTGCCCCGAAAACGGAGTCCTGGCTACCAGCGTCCCCGTTGGTGTTACGTGTCTGAGGTTCCCAAGGAGACCTGCTGCCACTAGCCTGAGCCTCGGCCTCCCCCGAATCAGCGGGGGGTCACGGCTGGGAACGTGGGGTTCCCTGGAAGAGACGTGTTTAGAATGCGAACGGTGCTTTCTGTGTTTCTTCCTACTTGCCGGCTGAGAGGCCGCAGTGGAGACAGCTCGCTCCGCCTGCAGGTGATCTACTCTGCCTGCCAAGGACGCAATTTGCCCTGACAGTCCTTCAACCAATGCCCTCATTTCGTGGCAAAACCGGCGCCGTGCGAGGATGGGTCCACAACGGGACCCAGCGCGGGCCCCATAGGAGGAAAGACCTCTAGGAGCACAGCCTCGCTGTTGCCGGTAAAGTTGGGAAACCCACTGCCTGAAAAAACAGACTGTGTAGATACCTTCCGATCAGCGAGGGGAGGCCGAAAAAAATTGGCCCTTTGCTTGGTATCCCGGTATGAGAACCGGTAACCGAGCGCGAGGACTTGTCATTCATGCCAACGCACAACTCACTCATACCCATGCCGGTAGCACTTTTCGCGAACGAGCGACCCGGTCAGTCTCGGCTATTTTGACATGCTGCTGGAACGATTCCCAGGCTTCCGAACCCCAGCGATTACACATATTCTCTGGGCAGACACCCGAACCCCGAACGCACGTGAAACAACGATAACACTTTGAATGCGGGTTCCATTCCTGCAATTGCTGCGTACACTGAGTACAAATCCGCCTCATAAACTGAGGAGACAATACCGGCGGTGAGCCTCTGGCGTTGCCAGTGCATCTGTCCATTTCTAAATACATTAAATATAATAGACGACATGCATAAGGGAAAAGAATTACAGTTGTAAAAGGTGCCGCCATGAAATCAACATGTGACTACGTAGTGGCGCCGGGTTTGATTTCTTTGTTGTGGAAAAGCATAACACACAAAGGGGAAAACGACACGAGGGTAAAAAGACAAGAAAAATTTATCCTACCAGCTAGAATGTCGGATGCCGCGGCTGCGGCGACGACCCACGCTAGAAACCCGGACAGGAAAAAGCAACAAAGCCAGGCAGAGCCACTCAGAATCATTCCCGACGAGGCGGAGAGAATTGAAGAATGATGGACGGCTACCTATAGCGTTGCCATGTGGCCTCGGTCACGTGGGTTCGTGACGTAAGGGGTAAAAGAATCTTGAGGTCATGGGGCTTCCCCTGACCTAGATTCTATCTCTCAGTCACCGGCAGAATTGCTGATTAATGCCTACAGTTCAAAATAGTCATTTTGACTGACCGGAGTCTATGGTGGGTAATTGAACGTAGTGAATGGCAGCTTTTTTGAAGTCTTTAAAAACATTATCACAGGCACATTTATTTTTTCACCACTCTAAAATGGTGGCAGCATCACACATATCTCTGAAAATGACCATACTAGTAATCTATGTTCTGTAATGTGCTGTGCTATAAGAGATAAATAAAAATGAACTTTATACAATTTGTACTCCTTATAAATATGAAACAAGTTTTAGAACATTCTTGAGTCTAAAAAACAATTCTGATAAATTAACTGGTTTGTAGGTCTATAAACATCACAGGTATGTGTGTGTATATATATATATACACACACATTATATATTGTAGTTGGTTTGTGATAACTGCATTTTGTTTTTAATGATTGGCAGTTACGCAATGTCATAAAACTGACATATTTTGCATAATATTAATTCCTGATATGCACTAGGGTAAAGGTACATAAACTGTAAGTGAAGAATACTTTCACTGATAGTCAGCTGGTGAAATTGAAACCCGGTTTTTTTCAGACAGTCAAACAGTAATGGCCGTTTTCGGCAAAAAATTATTATAATAAGACTAGAGCTCATTATAACAAGCACTGTGCTACACAAATAAATCAATAAGTTTTTTTTTTTCTAATTCAGGTTCAGCGAAATATATTTTAAAGTCTGTCTATGAGTTTTGTTATTGAAGCTTCTTGTCTTGTATATGATCACTTGATAGCATGTGTGGAGCGGTCACATGACTGTTCATCAATTAGTAAAGCGTCACACAATGTACTATCATAGCCTTGTTGTACGTGCACTGTTCGTTCATGTTCTACAAAACTGTTTGATATATTCTCATTGACTACAGTTGGAGAACTCACTTCCATTTCTTCGTCTCCGGTAGACAACTCAACATTTGTATTTTTATTAAAAACTCTATTTAATGTATTCTGACTGTGAAAGAAATTGTAGTCTTTGGATGAGTTATTGTTAAGTGGAATCCCGTGATAAGCTTCTACAGGGATTCCGTGTGGTTCAGCCACTGAAAGTCCAGTAAACACACCTGAGAAAGAATTATAAAAGTACAAAACATAAATAGGACGGGAAAGTTTAGTGTTGTAGCAGCATTTCGTTCAAGCAAACACTTTTCAACAGAGTGTTCATTCCCAATTATAACACATACTGGGCTTCCACCGAGGATAAACTAGTTTAAGCCAAATACCAACCTTTTACGCATTTGGCAAATTTTTAATTTTTATCAAAGATCACAACATTTTTCCCGATTCATGTAACAAATTGAAATGGTAACTGTAACATGCAGTTACTTAATAAGATGATACGTTTTCACTGATGTTTAATTTATCTTTCTGTGGGTGAAGACATTTTGTTAAATGACGCACATTTTCTCAAAACAATATTTTGATTGAGCAACTAGTGGTTAAAAGAGACTTTTTTGTCGTCTAATCTCCAAAAGTAATCTGACTTTGGTTTTAGATGAAAGGTTAGTGGAAGCCCAGCCATATATGACATTCCAGATTCAAATTAATTAATAAATTTCACAATAAATATCTGAGAAAACGCTAAGATAACAATGAATGAGGAAACTTTCAGTGGCTGTGAAGGCAACACTCCATTCAAATCAAATGACCACTGAGTCCAAGTGTTTGAAATGTAGAAGGTGGCATCACCCGTGATGGTGACGATGATTGTGGCGATGTCAGAGAAGCTGGCACGTTGAAATGAATTTGTTGTTGCTCAGCAACGACCTCCATTTCCACATCATCAACTTTCATATCTGGACAAGTGTTATAAAAGATAAAAAAAAGAATGTCGTCAGTGTTTCATGATGAGATGGAAATATCATGAAGATGGACATTCAATGCAAGCTTTTACCTTATTATTATGCAATTATTTTGATTTTATAAACTTTTTTTTTATATTAATCGATTAACTTCCTGAAATCCAAATTCAACTTTTGACATCTTTCACTAAAATAAACCTGCATAATATTCCAGAAAAATCATCAACACCTGCAGACAATGGAAAATTACATCCATCTTTTTTTTTCAAAGCTAATGAACTCCAAATGCACACCCTAATATGTGCACATGCATAAGGCTCTGGAGAATCGTTAGCCCTTATGAAACATGTGAAAAAACACTGAAAAATATTTATTTTGCAAACCTAAATGATTTTAGCACGAGGTAATTAATCTTTGATGAGGTTTCTCAAAAACTTCAAACCTGTGCTTGTTGTATCTGCTTACTTTTAATAATAACCATTGCCTACAAGATAGTTCTGTTGGTGGAAACCATTAGGAAAAACTGACGTAGGGCAGGAAATTATCTCACCCTCCGTCCTGGCTCTCTTTAACTGACAGAGATTGTCTTCCTCTGTAAAACCTCTTTTCCGTCGTGGCAGTGAGCTGTGAGCACACGTTGTGTGACCGTTGGGTTTGTATTGTGTTCCATTTGCATGGAATCCATTCTGATGGAAACCATTGACTGATGACGGCATCTTCTGAGAGCATTGCTGAAGGAATACACAGCAGTGTTGGTTACCACAGGATACTGCCAGTTGACTTGGAGTGTGTCCATTATTGTTAGTGATGCTGTTAAAACAATGAATTCAGAGATAAATACATGTCTATATCAAACAAGAATTTTTTGTTTGAATTGGCAGAAATGACATGAATTTTAAACTTACAGGGGACATGCATTTTAAGATACAAAAACATGAAAATGCACCTTGGTTTGCAAGAAAGGAATTGCAACATTGTTAAGTAGATAAGAATTGACTATAATACAATGAGAGTAATGTCTGCTATGTGTATGATTTTGTAGACGATACAACATGATACAATCTCATGATTTGAAATTTGCTGTTTTCATCGGATAAAAATGTGTTAAACAGAGCGTTACATTTAAAAATTGTACGTATTTGTGCTAGATGCAAAAAAACATTTTCTTAATTAGAAGCACATCTCCAATAAGAGCGCATATATAAACCAAAAATTGTCTCACAAAAATAAAAAATACGAGAAAGATTTTGTAAAAGAAGAATGAAAATTGGATGAAATAATTTTACAATTTATTAACTGTTATTTGAGGACAATATCAGGTAATCAAATAATTCAAGAACGTGCAACTGTTTACTCAACATGAATGAGTAATTGTCCAATATTTTCTATACTGGTGAAACAATTCTGCCCCACATAGCTTTTCTCACGACGAAAACACTGATTGTTATAATCCCAAAGTCCTTTTTGCTATATTACCTTCAAAGTAGGCAAAATTTGATATGCTAATTACTTTTATATGCTAATTAAACCATCTTGTGGAACTGTGCATGAAACATTATAGTGAAATGTACAGTAGGAATGTATTGTAGAAGCTTAAGGTAGAGATGCAGTTTATTTGTGAATTTCAATCAAAAATAGTTTTATTCGTTTTTTTATATAGATTTTTAGTTAAAGAACATTCTGTGAAAATTTGACCAATGAATTCTTATTGGAGCACCGTTAAAATTGCTGTTTATTTTCTGGTTAAAAATAAAAAACACTCACACGTGGCAATGTTTATGTCCAATTGCCTAATTTGCACGAGTAACCAAATAACAGGACCCTTGATTGACAATATGCAAATGAGGATTGTACGGGTCATAGTTCATTCAATTCACGCGCATGTGCAATTATTCTCAAATCAGTTCTGCTCGCTAGCAAACCAAACATATTTCCCCAGCGTTTTTTCCTAATTTTTATCATTACATTATGCGTGGTGTGAAAAGAAAGAGGTAGAAAGAAGATTCAGATGATTTCTATGT